CACACACGCATGCATGCACAGATACACATGCATACATATCACAAACTCACTTGCAGACTTATCTGAACTCCATGACTGCATGTAAACGTGCACTGGCATATATGAACACACACAATCTCCAACCACACACACATCTGGGCTGCTGCTGGTGCCGTGGCGGCAGGGCATCAGGTAAAGCCAGCATGGCACTGACAGCTCCCTGTCCCTAATGAAGCATTAATAAACTACAGCACAAAACAGTGGATCAGAGAGCAGCAAAGCTCCCCACCTGCCTAGCTGTCTGCTGGCTGCCAGGGGGAGAGATGAGAGGGGGAGAGGATCACTGTAATCCCCCATCCTCCAAAACCCCTCTGCCCCACTTTTCAGGGAGACATCACCCCTCATCACCTGCTCTTCAGTGTCATGCTGAAGGTTCTGTGCTTTTCATGAGTCTGATGTCAATACTCAATGAAAGAGACCTTGCATAATTAAACTACCGTACATTTCCTTCATTGTAATGCATTTCTATTGAAAATACATGCATTAAAAACACTTAGAGATAAATATGGCAGAGTGGTTGACACAAAAGATTCACCACAGCTTTGATTTAAAATGTTCTTCAAAAGTTCTTTACATTGGCAGCTCAAACAGAGTTGAGAAAGTCACTTAAATGTCGAATGGCAGTGTGTAACATTTCTGAGGATCTATATAATATTTATAGGTATGTTTTCATTAGTGTATTGTCACCTGAAAATAAGAAGTTTTGGTACCTTAGAATGAGATGTTTTTATTTACAAAAGGAACGGGTCCTCTTTCACGGAGTATTACACCGCCATGTTTCTACAGTAGCCTAGAATAAACAAACAGAATACTGACTCTGTTTTTCGCAAGACTGTGGCCACCGTAGTTTCTCCTACATGCTTAGAAGGGGACAGTGAGACAAGGGGTATTCAGTTGGTTGCTATCTGCAATCTCATTGCTAGATGCCTGCAAAGTGGTCCTTTAATTTTAAATCTTGCATGTCCACTTGTTTGTGAATGAGGGAGATTGACGGTCTTGAAAATTAAGTGTTTTTGCAAGTTTATTTTCTCAAAAGCTCTTAACTGTAAAGACTTTAAGCTGTAGCTAGCTAGCGTATGTGTGGAGCGTACCAGTCCTGACTTTGTTACACAGCTGAGCCTGATCTACAAAATCACCAGGCACTCCAATTCTTTTAATAATTTTCCCTCCAGGCCCCTCTGCTTTTCTTTGAGTCTCTTCTTCCTCTTTGTACATTCATGAACTGTAGTCATAAATCTTCCAAATAGGCACAGACTCTTTGTGAAATTGTGTCTCTTCTTATCCACTTCGCATTGACTCTATATGCTGTCACGCTACCTTCAGTCTGAATACACCATAAAGATGATGTTCATGCGTTGCTCTTGATGTGTGAAGGTGTGTTTCCAGAAATCGCTGCAGCACATGAATTCACAATTAGGCCCGCAGGTAGTCCAGTCACAATGCCCCGACTGGCAGACAATGCCGGCCCTCTGATTCAAATGAAGTGAACCTGCTGAGTGTAGATATTCCAGGAGGTGTGTCTATTCAAACGCTGCATGCCTGCGATTAGGAGAATTGGAGCGATTGTTCTGTCAAATCCAGGTCCAACTGTGATGGACTGACAGGAATGAGTCCAAAGTACCGCAGTAGTAACTGGATTTTAGAATATGCAATCTTAATAAACATGTAAATAAACATTTTAAACATAATGGATTCTTTTAATTGGGCCCCAGAATGCCTGCTGGTCTTTGGGGTGTCCTCTCCTTCCCTCACCATAAGCCGGAGATGTCATCTCTCTCTCTCTGTTTGTGCTGATATGCCGTTGCTTCGGTGTCACTTTGTGTCTTTATCTGTCAGTCTATCTGTATCCTTATCTGCCTTTTTTTCTCATTATCCTTGCAGTCTAAACCTCACTGAGCTTCACTCCAGCAAGAGAGACTGATCTAATTGGCAGCGAGGATCATTGTAATTTAGCGAAGCCAGCTCTGCTGACTTTTTCAGCTCCTCGCTTTCTCCTCTTTTCTTGTGGCACCTTTCTCATGATAATAATGAGAAAATATAAGCGAGAACTCCCTGAAGTTTGCTGTGGTGAGCGTGTTTTTTTTTTCCTTTTTTATTCATGTGGGCTTGTTACACCGATCACATTCGCCCAGGCAATTTGCCTGCTTGTCTGAGTCTGAGAATGGAGGCTTATCTGCACTAACGCCCCATCGAGGCTGCGCTTCGTATCCAAATCGGCCCCTGTTAGCATTCAAATGAAGAGGCCCCACCTCCCCTTCCTATTCTACCTAGCTCTCGTGCCCCTTACAATCGCCCGCACCCCTCTTTGCCTGTCAACACGCCAGCTTCGCTCGGAGGAAAAGAGCGTTGGGGTAGAGAGAGAGAGAAAGCCCGGGCTGTTATTTAATGAGATCAAGAAGCGCAGGGGTGCTGTTTGCTGTCACAAAGCAAACAGGGGCTCCTCTCTGCAGGTGAGGAGAATCACTGGGCTTCTTCCTCATCTTCCTTTTCTTCCTCGGTAGCTGTGACTGCCGCCTCCACCTTAACAACCACCATTTTAAGGAAACCGTAAAGCGCTCTGACAAGGTGCTTCTTCTTTACATTGGAAGCATATTTCCTCCTCCTCCCAACGGCAGGTGCATCAAAACAGTATGGCTGTGAAGGTTATTTCTACCAGTATGGCATGCTTCATAACAAGAGCCCAAACTAAAAGTTCAAATTGTGTATTGGGTGTAGCGTGTGTGTAATTGCGGCTGCTGTGATTTAACATGACCTTTTACCTGGTCTGGCAGATACAACAAGCACATTACCTCGGTGCTGTTTCCCACAGGTCATCAGTGTCTCATTGTTCAAATGATTACACTGAAATTAGAGGCCAAGTGTCACAATCGCTATCTTGTCCGCATTGGTTGCCATTAAGCCACCATCAATGGCTCACAATGACTTATGATTTCAGTGACACATTCCATCTGTCTCCCTGAGTTAGAGATTTCATTTAGTATTTTATTTTGAAGTTACTTTTGAGGTGTCTCTGCCACAAATCAGGTCTAGAGTCAGTTTTAAAGTTGCTGCTGTAAGACAGAACAAATATAAAATGTGTGGGGGGGAGGGGAGTGTTCGTTAACGAGTCTTGCGCACCAAACCTCAAAAGGACCTGACAGGAGAGAGTGGGAAAAAAACAGAGGGGGGGGGGGATATGTGTCATGAAAATGAGGAAAGCAAGGTGGGGGATATCCTTTGATCAAGAGCACTCCTCATAGCACTCTTGTCTCCTTACACATCCATAATATATCTCTGCACACATTGCAGTCTCTCTTAACAAGGCAGTGCCATACCGTCCTAAAGGAGGGGATTGAATTTTGAAAAAAGCCAAGCCTGGAACACACTCCTTTATTGTCTTTTCTTCAATAGAATGATAAGAGGTGAAATAAAACACTAAACAAAATGCACAGCAAAGAATTTGAGATTCAATATATGTACCCCCCCCCCTTCAAATCAAATGTATTCATGTTGGTTGTAACAAAAGAGGGGATAATATCAGACATGGGTAAATATTTATTCTAAAAGTGGCAGGCTTAGGAAATGAGAGGACTGCCGACGCTCTGCTTCTCTCGAGGGAGAGCATGTTTGTCCATGACAGTCATAAATATGTATCATGCAGCGAGATGACAGCGATTGTAATCTGATGGCCGCCTTTTGTCGAGCATATGAAACCCCAAGAAAAGCCCCAACTGTGGCAAACAGGCGAAATTAAAAGTTCTCCTATCATTGGAATGAGTCACTCAGCAACAAGTGGCATGCTGTTTAATTAGGGTGGAAAATAAGTCCTCGGGGGGGGGGGGGACCTCGCTACCTTTTTCCCTCCTTCCTCTCAGTCTCATTTGCAGAAAGGTAAATATTCAGAGGGTCGCTTTTCAGCCGCGGCGATTAAAGCATGCTCAAGCATAGCAATAGAGAATGTGTTTTGAATGCAAAGCCTCCGAATCAATTCATGCTGCGCTGCGAAATGAATCGCAACTTGTTTGTACGAGTAGACAGCTATGGCAGTGCGTCCTCACCCAGGGGTGTCAAGTAGTTCTTCAAACCCAGAATAACTGCGCTCAGCTTCCAAAAGTACACCAGCAGGCACTTAAATGAGTTGGCCTGTCATCCATGATGCTCTCCAGTGTACAGTAGCAGTGAGTGTCCTGGAGTACAGCTGGTTGACAGGTGTATTCTTCAACGTAAGAACCCCTCTGCTTTTGACTAAACCTTGTTTTCATGTCTGTCCATTGCCTGCAGCTCTGAAGGACCCCTGCACTGAGGTGACCTGCAGCTACGGCAGCACCTGTGTCCAGTCGTCAGATGGCTTGTCAGCTAAATGCATGTGCCCCCTGGGCTGCGAGGGCAAGCCCGAGCAGACAGTGTGCGGCAGTGATGGAAAGGACTACCGCAACGAGTGTGAGCTCCATCAGCACGCCTGCAATAACCAGAAGAACATACGAGTGCAATACCAAGGGCACTGCGGTGAGCTCTGTCCTCATGCTTTCTTTGGGATTATTTTTTTTCATTGATCAGTTAATTTAGTCTATTGATCTATTGATTTAGTCTAGTAAGAAATTACCTTCTTTTAATTTGTTTGTATGAGATGTTAAATTTATAATCACATAAGGGGGAAAGCAGAAAACCCTCACATTTGAACTTTGGAACCAACACATAGGCATTAGGCATTTTGGCTTAAATGTAAGCACTCTACTTTTCTTTTTCTATGTTCTATGCTCATATCCTTTCCTCTTTTCTTCACTTCACTCTGTTTACTACCTCTGGCTTTTGTTGTTTCTACTTCACAAACCCCACTTACTTACGGCACGCCTCTGCCAATTCTCATTTTTCATTCAGCTTGCTTTGCTTCACACAGGTACTCCTGCGGTGCGAGTTTTCTCTAAGTAGGTCTTCTGCGTTGTCGTTTTCGACGGGCCCAACTTTTTTCACTCATCCTTGTTACCATCAGGCGATGGTTGTTTACTCCCAAGGCACTCAACTTTGAGTTTTGTCTTTCTTTTTTTTGGGGGGGGGGGAAGAAACAGCAGACACAAACTCTGTCTCTTAGCAGCCGAAGCCTCCAGGAGACAGAGCGGGGTGGTGGGCAACGAGAGATGGATGTGCAGGTCCGCCGGCGGAAGGCTGATCGTATAAATCCAGCCTGAGCCGGCCAAAGTGACCTCAGCTGCCCTGTCCTCCCGGAGGGGGGGGCATGCTCAGGGAACCAGTCGCCCCTGATGGTCCACTAAATCTTCCGACAGCCATTCATATAAAGCCTTGGCTATTTCAAGTTGCTAGCCATAGCCAGACAAATGCAGTTGATTTATCCGCACTGCTAGTTTTTGCAGCAAACAGGCCATTCTTTTTGTAATTACCCTACTTGCTCAGCTAGAGGAAAGCATGGATCCTGGAAGCTGTTCTTCTCAGTTAATGGGAGGTAATGGTCTTTCTCTCAGATAATGGTCTGGCTGGCGGGTAAGCACTGCGTTATGCAGAGACACTGCGTGCATTACGATAAAACCCCTGTTTGCTTGGTCGCTAGTCTCTGCAAGCCTTTGCATTGTGCTGATAGAAAACAATCTGAGGCCCGGCCAGAGCTGGCCGTGGTCACTCCGCCTCCCAGCCCTCTGTAGCCAAAGCGCTCTGTCCCTTTTTATGTCCCTGCATTGTCTCTCTTTGTATCCCTGCCAGAGGTCTTTGGAAACCATTTCCCCTTATTCTCTCTTTCTCATTCTGTTTCTCTTCCTCCCTACTCCTTTCCCGATGACAGGGTGTTTCATCCTTGGTGTGTTTTGAATGACTCACCGACCGTCAGCTTGGCAGTGATTTGATATGTCACGGTTCTACATAAATCCTTTGTCTTCCCACATGCTGAAAGCGTGGCGAGCAGGATAAAGCCCAGGCTCCTGTTTCAAGGAGTAACACCCCTGGTCCCACACATCCACAAACCAATTCCATTATGATCACGGACTGATACGGCCCAGCGTGCCAGACCGACGCTCCCCTGGAAGGAGGGAGGTGCCAGGGAGCAAATCAAACCAACGGTCTCTTCATCCATTTCCTTGTCTTCTCTTCACATCCAAGGTCCCACTCGGAGCTGCTCTCAGCTGCCGGGTCACTGATAATATCTGTGGAGCAGCAATGATGGAGGATCATGTCTCCTCTTCCCTTTCTTAGTTCCCTCTGTTCTCCTCCCTTCTCTTCTCTTCTCTTCTCTCTGAATTTATTAGACAAATATTGTCAAACAAACAGTTAATGCATTCAACCTAAACAGAGATTATTTGGCCTAAAAAAATATCACAGGCATATTGTTGTTTACTGCTGTTTAATTTAAAAACAGGCTAACCAAAGCTCTAACAGGAACTTTACTGGAGTGCCAGTTCCGAGGAAATGAAGCCAGCACACATAGTATCGTAGTAGTTATGTTTTTGATGTGTTTTTTCTTGTGCCAAGGTATAGCTGTTTGGCTTTCCACAGAGGTCCAAAAAGATGCACAGAGATGGTTTCAATTCCACAGGGTCTAATTAACATAAAACTGACTTTTTTATTATTTATTTTAGTTATTTAGTTATTTTACATACCAATTGTACTACATACTGCTCTGTACTGCACTACATATTTCTGAATGTCTCCACAGACCCGTGTAAAGACAGTGAGAACAGTCTGAACACGTTGTGCCGGGTTGAGGCTCTCACCCGCCAGCCCCTCCTCTTTAACCGGCCGGAGTCGTGCCCCCAAGATAATGAGCCTCTGTGTGCCAGCGACGGCCAATCCTACTCCAGCGAGTGTGTCATGATGTCAACGGGCAGGCAGAAAGGCATCAAGCTAAGGAAGATCCATGCAGGGCGTTGCAGAAGGCTGGGTAAGGGCAATTATGCTGTGCTTTGTGCACAATATTTAAGACAAGTAGCCTTTTTTGTCATTTGACCCCCCTGCTCTACTGTTAATCAACTCCTTAATGATGTTATTTTATTTTTTTCCTGACTTACCTTTGTTGTTGTAGCTGTGTCTTTTCTGTTCCATGGCCAGCTTCAACTTGATAGCCCCAGCCAGCTCAATACTGACCATAACCTAATAGCAGATAGGTACCCCAAGAACTGCCCTAGATGTAATCTTTTACCACCTGCCATTCCACCTGCAGAACACTAGTACTAGAACTGTTCATGGGGTGCTAGTACTATGAAAATGACATTAATATATGAACATGTTATGTGTGTAACAACAGATGAAACTTACTGTGGTCATTTTCAAACAGATTGCCCTGTTATAAAAATAATTTAGATCCAATGCTCTGGGGAGTACACAACTGAAACCTTCTAAGTATAGTGTCCTGCTTCTTTCAGAGCAGTTAGGCACTGCAACAGTGCAATGCATTTTTCAAAACTTTGTGTCCAAATTAATCACAAGGGCCTACTTAACAAAAATAGTCCAATGATTTAATTATGGCAAACCACCCCCAAAGGTTGGGATGGGTTTTAAAGAGAGTGACCCAAACACAGTCACAAAATGTCTGCATCACATTGTCAAATATGCACATATTCACATATTTCAGCCAATTTCTTCTTCAAATTTGAACATGTGTAGGTGAACTAACATTAGAACTCAACTGTATTCCACTTTATGGCACAGAGATAAATGACTCTGAGGTCTCGGGGTCTGTACTGTATCCATGCCAGCAGTAGCCTCCTCCAGCCTGATAAGAGCCTCCAGGGCTGTTATCTGTGCTATTAGAACAGAGGGTTTAAGCCTTAGTCAACAAAGAGCTGTCAGCTTTTACTGTATGTCTGATAGCCATCGGAGGAAATCCAATTTTCCCGCTGTGTTGTCAGCGGGGGCTTCGCAAAACCACAACTGTGTCGGTTTACGGCAGTGATGTGCGGAGACCCCTACCCATTTACTAAGACCCCTGACAAGGCCAAAGACAAGAATAGATCACCGCAGGACTCCCTTTGGTATACTCAACAATGAAGGCTGATACACACTTCTCTGACACACCCTGGTTCTCCCGTTTGCTCTGCTTGACAGGCTGATGGGGGAGTGTGAGGGCTTAAAATTGCGCAAATCCCAAGCTAAGTAGCGTTGTGTGTTTGTGTTTGTGTGTGAGTATGTGTGGGCCATCGTGTGCAAGTGGATGAACTATTTTTTTCTCTTTTTCCCCCTTTTCTGCTCTGCCTTTTTCAAATGAAAGAATAATTCAATTTGAAACAGAGATCCATGAAATCATATCCCTAAGCAAATTACAAATTGGTATCTAATGAAAATGGCCATTTCGACTTGTAACCATGACATTGCACATCCTTGTAGCCCTCTCACTCAGATACAGCGGCGATGTAATTAAGTGTGGCATGACAGGCTTTTAAAGAAAAGAGAAGAAGCAATTGAATTGCTGTACAAATTTGATCCACTGATCAGGAATGAAATAAATTTGAAGCCTAGTGAGCGCCTCCAGAACAGAGGCCTGCTTCAAATTGGATTTTCTCACTTCAATGGCAAATTTGCCATTTCACATTACCAGTATTTCTTTCTTTTTTCTTAATTTCCGCAGTAGATTTCTGCTTAGCGAGTCAAAATGTAATGAATATAATAGTTTAGACTTTAACTTGACCCCAATATTAAATTCTTGAGTTTGAGTTCCCAATTTTATTAAAGTTATTGGGGAACTTTATTATTAAAGTTAGATGGGAGTACGGCAAACCTGATCTCCAGTCAGTTCTCATGGGTTACATCAGCAAAGAGCTTGTATTAACAGTCAATCATAATATTATTAAGTGTCACTTCATAGAGTGTGTTACCATGGATATGATTGTAATAAGATTAATAAGTTAGGGGGAATGTAAGAAAAACAATTTTGAACTAAAATAGAAATAATGGTATACTTAAGCTACTACATTTTAATAAATTCTAATATTTCCATCATCCAGTCGCCTGTGTGGTGACAGCAACAATTTCTGTCACAATAGTAAATTATTCTCCCAGCTTCAGAGAATTCACCCAAAGTTCAGAAAAAAACAAGAACGTTAAAAACAAACAAATTAATTTTTTTTTTCGACAGAAGTGCTTTAAAGGCAAGAAATAAAATAATGAACACTCAAAATAAACAGAAACTAATAAACACTCTTAAATGTTACTCATACTGTCTTGTATGACGAGTTTTGTATCCATGCACCTGCAAACTGTTATTTCTTGGCTTGAATTGGCTTTAAATTGCATTTATCTAATCTTACATTCACTTACTTTTACTGTATTTGTCATTTTATTTTGTATTGTTGTAAACCTGCCCTCAGATTCTTCACAGAATGACGACTAACTGTTTTAATACTCAATTAACGAAGGTATTTTCATTTCTAATGTGATCTTATAGCAATTTCATGTATTTCTGGAAAAGGCTTAACCTCTGCTGCTAAAAGAAAAGCTTTTACACGCACTACCAGTGACATCAGTCCACCCTAACAAGTAATTACTGTTTGGATGAAAACTGATTTATTTCCTCATGGCTGGACCAGCAGTGTCACACAGCAGGAAGAACAATCAGTTCAACACTTTGCTAGCTTGAAATGTTGTTTTTTACGCCTTCTGGGTACTTCTGTTGTCCTTTCCTCTATGGTGATCAGTCTGCCACACTGTTATAAAATTGGCAGCTGAAAACTGCTCTAAAAAGCCTTATCAGTGTCTATACAGATGGGTGACAAATTAAAGCAAAATCCTGAAGAATTGAGTGGAGAAATAGAACGAATGCAGAGGCCACTGGGTACAGGAGGTTACTGGGTTAGGGCTAGGAAAACTCCGAATAGTACTAGGCAGGAATTCATAGATCCTAAAGTAATTTTGTTTCTGCCCACCTCCCTCTCTTCCAGAGGACTGTAAGGAGGACTGTCTCTTCAATGCTGTGTGTCTAGTGGAACAGCTGAGCGCCCGCTGCTCCTGCGATCCCATCGAGTGCGACGGCACCTACAAGCCCTTGTGCGGCAAGGATGGCCACACCTACCCCAACGACTGTGTTAGACGCAAGACAGAGTGCCTGAGCAGGACCCTCATTCTCATCAAGCACCCAGGGCCCTGTGGTGAGTGGAGCTGAAGGATGGGAAAGAGGGGTAATGGCTCCTTTGGGGTTTTTACAGGGACTAATGCTATTTCTTATCAATCCCTCTCTTCTTCTGTGTCTTTCTTTGCTTATTTAATGATGCCCATGCAGTGTGTTCTTTCTTCTGTGTGTATGTCTGCAGTTGAAACCCTACTGAGAAGTGTCTGAAATGGTTTGGTGATGCTCTCCGAAGGGGGGGTGGGGGGTTTCAAACCGACAGGACGTGTGTGCCTTCCTTATAAAAACCGTGCCTTCACTCCTCCACCCGTTCACATCCATCTCCTCATCCCTGTCACGCTTCATCCCTCCATCTCAAACACACCCCCAAAACCAAAACGCCACCTTCATGTTTCATTCATCCGCTCTCTGTCTTCTTCTCCTTCACTAGTGCCAGTCTTCCACTTCGGTGACTTTTTGTCGTTTTCTCCTCCTCTGTCTTTGTCTGTTTGTCTTGTGTCCTGCTTTTTTCTTGTATAAAAAAAAGCTATTCTTTCTTGTTTCAGTGCGTCGGTCAGTCTGTCTGTCTGTCTTTGTCCAATGTGGCTGTCCTCCTGGCTGTCTGGCTGCAGGTGGAAAAGTGGGGTCACCCAGTGGGCGACCTCATCAGGCGGATTCTGAGGGGTGAAGCCCTTCCCCTCGTTCCGAAAGGACCTAACAGGAGGGGGTCTTGTACTGCTGTCTTTTTCCTTTCGCTCCTACTGTCTCTGTGTGTCTCCTTATGTCATTAATGTCCTTTCCTTCTGTTTATCCTGCAAAGATGTGATCCATGAGGTTGGAGAAGTCTTCCTCTAACCCCTGCTCCCTATTTTTCATTTCCTGTCTAACTAAAAGAAAAGCTTCTCCTCTACCTACCTACCTAACCGCTGCTCACCTTTGACTCCTTTCGCTCTGCATGCAATAGTGCATGCCGGCTCCTAACATCACTGCTTCCCAAACAATCCCTCTCTCCATCATCAGGACTATCTCATAAAAGCTGCCCGACGAATGCACAAAGCTCAGTGAGCATAAAAGCTGCACTAGAGTGCGTCTGCATTTTATTGAATCCTTTGGAATGCTTTATACTCGATCCTTTTAGGTTTACCCTTGAAAAACTGAAAGTAACTAAAGTTGAGAATAAGTTAAAGATGAGGTAAGATCTTGAACCACCTTTGTTAACTAAGAATGTAGGTAGTCAAATAGTGCTCACTACATGGAACTATAATTTGATAATGAAATGAGTACATAGGAAAGGTTTTGCGTACATTTTTCACCAGCTTCGTTTTCGAGATATTGCAGAACCAGATATAGAAACAATAAGGTGATAAGCTCAAATCACTGGTATGAAATGTGTCATAATCAAGCTGGAAGATCTGAAACCCTAAAATTTACATAACCCTATCAGCAAGTTAATTTCATCACTACTGTAACTCCAATATTCCCCTAAATATCACATAGTTGCCATGCGCAGATGATAAAAAAAAACAAATTATTTGAACATTATGAAAGATTATCACTGAATGTTATCCGGGGTTTTGCAGAAAACCAAAGGTCCAGTATCTACGTTTTGTCTGGTGAAACTAAGAAGCCTGCCACCTGCAAGCATTGCAGATTGCTCTTTGTTAATAAAATGAGGAGAAACAAAAGATTCATTAAGAGATGTGTCAGCCTTTGAGTTTAGCTAATCTGGCCATTTTTTACAATTTAAACCAAACTGGAAGCGACTATTGGTACGTATCCAACCATAAGCAGCTTGGACAGCTGTATTGATTTGACAGAAATAATAAAACATGAAGACCAGTTTTCAGAAATGTCTGCTTTGCCCTTGGCCCCCAAATTAAAACAAATCATATTTTCTCCACACAAACGCATTGAACTCCAATTTTTGTCAAAAGTAAAATTTTAACAGATGCCCCTTTAAACTCGTCATCCACTAGTATCCTAACAATCAATTTTTGTCTCTGATCTCTGAGAGTGCCTCTCTAGCAATTTTTAAAGATGATTTAAACATCCCATCTTCAGTAAATCTTCTCCTGAATTAGAAGCATTTTTCCT